CCGGGCACAGGTCAAACGACCCACAACGGAGCCTGGGGGGCGAAAAAAAAGAACGGAAAGAAATTGAAAATATAGAAAAAAGGTTATACTGTATTAATCTACACCACGAAGATGCCGGAAAACCAGCTTTTTAAAGTGAGACAGATTGTAAGAGCATGGAAACACAGAAGAAGGCAAAGCATTCCACAGTTTGGCTGTGTGAGGAAAGAAGGAGGTACTATAACGGGTTATTCTCGTGTGACTGACATCCACAGAGAAATGGTGGGCACCGCGGGCAAGACGTGTGTTACGAACCCACGGCCTTACCGGCGGTACACAGGATGCCAAATCCCCTGAACATTGCCCGTTAAAGTACCTGTAAAAGAGAGAGAGTGAAGCAACATTGCGGCGAAGAGAAAGGGGAGAGAGGTTGTCGACTAAAGGAGGAGAGTTAATAAGACGAAATGCCTTTGACTCCACCCTATCTAATAGTTGGACAGAAGAAGAGCCACCCCAGATATGAGAGCAGTACTCCAAGTTAGGACGAATGAATCCCTTATATACTTGGAGCAACTGCTCAGGAGTGAAGTAGCTGCGGCATCTGTACAGCATTCCCAACTTTCGGGAGGCAGCTTTAGTTATACTAAGGATGTGTGATTTCCAGGACATATTGGAGGAAATGGTGAGGCCTAACATATTTATTTCAGAATTTGGGGGGATGATAGCGTCCTGAAATGTAATTGGTGGGAGATCGTCTACTTTACAAAGTGTAATTGGTAAATATTGAGTTTTGTTACTATTGAACTTAACCAAGTTTGTATCTCCCCATTCAGAGATGCTGCACAGATCCGCGTTGATAGAAGTAATGATATCAGTTCTAGAAACAGATCTAGTTTGAGAGTTAGGAGGAAGGGGAAAATGTGAGGAAGAGTGAAGAGTAGAATCATCGGCGTAAGAATGGATAGAATTAGTTGTAGTGTGAAGTAAATCATTGATAAAAAGAAGAAAGAGAGTTGGTGAAAGAACAGAACCCTGTGGGACGCCACTACTGGTAGAGAATGTAGAGAAAGATGAAATCGATCCCCCACAACAACTGCTATGATCATTTCATGAAGCTAGAGATGAGAGAACAAAAGTGGGGGGAGAGAAACCAAAAGAGGGAAGTTTGATAGCAAAGACTCAGCTACACCCCTGTCAAGCTTTGGAGATGTCACGTAGGGCTACTAAAAAGTTTTTCCCATAATCCCTAAGAGAGGATGACCAAAGATGGGTGTGCATAAT